TGGGGGGGGGGGGGTTGAGGTGAGAGAGACTTAACTGTGGGCATTTACTACAGGCCACCAAACCAAGTGGAGGAGCTTGATCTGGAGTTCTCAGAAGAACTGACAGAGGCCATGCATGAAAGGGACTTGGTGGTCATGAGCAACTTCAATTACCCAGACATAGATTGGGAGGACCACTCCTCTAGATCAGATTGGTCTTGTAGCTTCTTAACTGCAATTGATAAGCTCCTTCTGACCCAGGAAGTACAAGGGCCAACCAGAGGTACCACTCTCCTAGACTTGGTCTTGGCCAAAGGAGATGATCTGGTGTGTGGATTGAACATTGAGGGTAACCTGGGCGAGAGTGACCATGAGCTCAGATTCACTGTCCACCGCAAGGCTGACAAATCAATTAGCAGGATTGAAGTCCTGGACTTTAAAAATGCTGACTTCAACAGGCTCAGGGGAGGTGGGGAGGTGATGCAGGCTGGAAGGTGAATGGGGTGCACAAAGAGTAGTCGTTCCTCAAGGACATGACTCTTAAAGCACAAAAGAAAACCATTCCCATGAAGAGCAAAGGTAGCAGAAGGGCTAGCAAGGCCTGATGGGTCAATAGGGACATTGCAGTCCTCTTGAAAAAGAAAAAAGAGGTGTATACACAATGGAAGCTAGGGACAATCCACAAGGAGGCTTATGCAAAAGTGGTCCGTACTTGTAGGGAAATGATTACGAAAGCTAAGGTGGCAACTGAGTTTAAATTAGCCATGGGAGTCAAGGACAATAAGAAGTCCTTCTTTAGGTATGCAGTGAGCAGAAAGAAAACAAATGGAAGCATGGGGTCCCTGCTTAACACCTCGGGACAGCTGGTAATGGACATTCAGGAAAAAACTGAACTCCTGAATGCCCACTTTGCTTCAGTATTTCACTGGACCAAGGGGAAAGACAAGCAAGATAATGATCACAGGGGGCATGGTGGGATGCTAAGCTGGTGCAAAACCACTAGAAAAGCTAGACATTTTTAAGTCAGCAGGACCAGATGGACTTCACCCAAGAGTGCTGATGGAGCTGGCTGAGGTCATCGTGGAACCCCTGACAGAAATCGTGGCACACAGGGGAGATCCCTGAGGATTAGAAGATGCCCAACATTGTGCCCATCTTCAAGAAGGGGAAGAGGGAGGACCCCGGCAACTATAGGCCGATCAGCCTAACCTCCATCCCAGGGAAAATCCTGGAAAAACTTATTAAAGGATCTATGTGTGATATGCTCGTTGAGTGTAAGATTCTGAACAACAGCCAGCTTGGCTTCATTGTGGGTAGGTCTCGTCTTACCAATCTCATCTCCTTCTATGAACAGGTCTCTTGCCACCTGGACACAGGAGAGAAGATTGACATTATACACCTAGACTTCCAAAAGGCTTTTGATATAGTATCCCATAATATCCTTGTGGAAAAATTGGAAGATTGCAGGCTTAACTGCTCAACAGTTCAAAGGGTGAAAAACTGGCTGCATGGTAGGACCCAGAGAGTTCTCATGAATGGATCTGTTTCATCCTGGTAAGAAGTGGTCAGTGGTGTTCCTCAGGGATCCATGCTTGGACCAGTGCTTTTCAACATTTTTATCAATGATTTGGATGTGGATCAATGATTTGGGGTGAAAACCTCACTGGCCAAATTTGTAGACAACACCAAGTTATGGGGGACCGTGGCCATGCCAGAAGATAGATTGCAGATATAGGTGGACCTGGACAAGCTGGAGAGTTGGGTGGATTGGAACCCGATGACGTTCAACACTCAGAAGTGTAAGGTGCTCCATCTGGGGGCAACCAATCCCCAACATACCTACAGGCTAGATGGCAACAATTTGACTTGCACCACGGCAAAAAGGGACCTAGTGATAGTGATCAACCATCGCAGGAACATGAGCTAGCAGTCCAAAGCTGTGGCCAGCAGGCAGACAATATGCTGGCATGCATTAACCCTTGCATCTCATGCAAAACTAAGGAAGTGATACTCCCACTGTACCCCACACTGGTGAGACCACAGCTGAAGTACTATGTCCAGTTCTGGGCGCCGCACTTCAACAAAGACATGGAAAGACTTGAGAGGACCAGAGAAGAGCCCCCTGTATGATCAGGGACTTGCAAGACAAGCCATACGAGGAGAGACTGAGGGACTTGGGCCTCTTCAGCCTACAGGGGACTTGGTAGCGGCTTACTGCTGAGAAGATTTGTTAGAGCCTTACCACTACGTCAGGAAAGTACATCAAGAACTTGGTGAACAGCTGTTCACCAGGGCACACCTAGGGAAGACCAGGAGCAATGGATACAAATTCCTGGAAGGCTGCTTCAGGCTCAGTTCTAGGAAAAACTTGTTCAGACTGTGGAATAAACTCCCTCCAGTGGTGGTGCAGTCACCTACCCTGGAAATCTTCGAAACAAGACTGAACAGTCACCTCGCTGGGGTCACTTGAACCCAGTTGTTTTTTCCTGTCTAGTGCAGAGTGACTGGACCCGATGATCTACAAGGTCCCTTCCAGCCCCTAACAATCTATCAATCTATGAATGTGATTCATTAGGATTTTGCCAGTTTTAGAAAATTCCTGCTTTTTGTATGTGATAGTTCCAAGCCAAACAAAAGTATAAGGTCGGCCCACATGTTCTCAACAGGTTCTCCATTCAGTTTTGTTTGCTTTCTGCAAGAGATACAAAGAAACACAGAAAACATCTTCTGGTACAAGGGCTGTTTCTGTAACTACATGATATCTGAGGACCTATGTTGCTGTAATTGATTTCCACTGAACTTGCACCATACATAAAGAAAACAGGAAGAGAAGTTATAGAAAGTGGTAGTGTAGTTGTTCTCAAGAGTAAATGTAAGAAATAATGTTTAACTGCAGTTGGCCAACATTGGCCTCTCTCACTGCTTCACAACAACAATTACTCTTTTGTTTTTATATTTAAAACTTCCCATATGTTAACATTTTAGGCCTCAAAGTCTTGTATTTATGTAATAAACAGTAAATATATGAAAAATGTTTTATAAACTGAGAACATATGTGACTTCTTTCTTAATTATTTGGCCAAACTGTTTCTTGTTTTTACATTAACGTTTAACAAGGAAAATTAGCTTTAGATTTAATAAGAGGCAGGTGTGACTGTGGGTAACTATAGACAATACAGTAAACTTTGGCAGATTGTCTGAATATCTGACTCCATACTTACCAAAACTAGATCAATGGGAAGAATGACTTTAATGATTCTTTTAAATTTTTCATTCAGTTCTTTAACGAGAACAAGCACCACAACGCTCATCAAGGACAGAAGTAAAGCTTCTAATTGAACCGATTTGATATTTTCAAAAATGTAGGCATAAATCTATAGTGAATAAAAACAGACAGACAAACAACAACTAGAGATGTAAAATGCTTCATTCTAGAATATATCTTTCACACTATAGAGCATACCCTAAGTATTCTTGCATATTATTCTGTCAGAATTATCCTTGAGACGTGAGCCAATGCTGTAGGAGTTAAGCAATCTGATATACTGTCATTTGTTCAAAATTCTGTAGAGAAATAAATCATTTATCTACTATTACAAGACAACCTTCAACAGTTCAGAAAGATGTGAATACCTTGCAAAAATATTTAGATATAAAGAGTACTGTAAATTTCTAGCAATAAAAACACTTTAAATTTAAAAAAAAACACATTTATCTTGAGTGTATGACAAAGCAAGCTTACTAGTAAAGGAGCCATAACTGAGATTTTATTCATTCCTTATAAATGTAAAGCTCCCACTTAATTCACTGAGATAATGACATGGTAAAACAAAGTTAGAGCCACTTATTTGAGATTGGGATCACTAATGAAATATTATAAGTCTACCAGCACGTCAATGAACAGGTTTTATTTAATTCAAACACTGATGGTATAACTATTAAATCTGATTAATCAATCACTTGATAGCACATAAGGGAACCAATACAATAACAATATCAAACATTTTCAGGTCACATGGCTCACTAACACACTGAAAGCATTCACCCACTCACAAAAATGAACATGTGACTATCTGCCATAAATGCTGGGTGCTGGCTACTGTAAAATGGGTTACATAACTCATATTCTTTTGTTTGCTCACTCCAAAATAATTGATTACCTCCAGTCCAAAATATCCTTGATTACTTTTTGAGATGAGTAAGACAAACTAAAGAAATTTAGCCCCCAGGTTACTGTTCCAAATTTGAAGATTCAGAAAACAAAGGCACAAACCCCTGTGATTAAGATGAAGAGATATCAATGAGAAAATGGATTGTCTATGACAACCGATGTCACTGAGAAATCTTTCAAATCTGCAGAAAAGAAAATAAAGTAGGCCCTAATGCAGGCTGAAACATAAACTGAACATATAAAGGAAGCTGAGAGAATGAATTTATTCCAGATTTCCAAGGGTGTCGAGAACACTTGAAGGTTTACATGAAAAAGACCAACTGTCTAAGGCTAATAACTTAAACATGTCTGGGAAAAAGTCCCCATTATTTTCTGAGACGTACATCTTGTGTGAGGAAGAAAGAAATGAAAGGGACTTCAAAGAAATTAATTTTGGACACGTAACAAAATCATGATAGGTATTTCCATTTCACATAACAGTTATCCCATATGTCTGTCCAAAGCGGATCACAAACATGCCTGGCTGAAACCTATAAGAGAATCCAGGAAACTCATTAATTCATGATAATATAGAAAAGAAGTATCAACAGACAACAGAGCCAAAAAAGAATACCAATACTCTCTAATGAGGAACTGAGGAAACCCTACAATTCATAACTAAATCTCTTCTTTATACACTACAAAATTCAGACCAATAAGGGAATTGACTCTTACATATGGAAAATCATGTGTTTGCTCTGGGGAAACCTAAAAAGACCAACAAAATAAATTGAGAAACCTCTGCTTATTAGAACAAATTAATTTTTGCACCAAAGGACCCATATTTTAACACAAGCATTGTTAACAAGATTGGAGATTTGGAGCTAAAATAAAGACATTTTTAAAACTTTATTATGAAGTTTGATTTCCAATTTTTGTCAGATTTTAAGAATTACGTTATTCATTAAGTAAAACAATTACAGAACAAAAAAAACTGTGAAAAAGAGAAGAAATCTGATTGTTCACAAAGAGAAAGATACCAGAACCCAGTCCTTTGAAAATTAGCTTTCAGACTCTAGAATAATAACAAGCACACTTCAGTGGGAATATTCCTCAGAAGCTGGAAAAACTGTGAATTTTTAAAGCTAACTTGTTTGGGTATTGTCAAGCCTTTGTAAATAAAATGATTTGTAGAAGAGTCATAAGTTTGAAGAATAGTTAATTAAACCACAGCCTCTATCCACATGGTACCCTTGTGTAATCAAACAATGAGGATGTTATTTTGTGTGGCTTCAGACTTGGCAGTGCAGCACAATTGTTAAAAAATGCACATTACACACAGCATGGGACTTGGACTCCGTGCCCTTGCAGAAACTGTGATCAATTAGTACAAAAGAAAGAATTCCAGCAAGCTGTGCCAAAATGTTCATGAGGTCATCAACGGCTCAGAAGCTAGTTCCAATATCTAAAGCAAAGTTGATAAGGACGCAGAAGAACTAGAGATTCTCATTATTGAAATAAAAAAGTTACAAGTATTTTTCAAGCAACCAATTCTGCTGAAGTGTTAGCACTTGGCAACCCATGTCTATCTCCTATGGATCTAGGTCTTTATTAGGTAAACTGAAACATCCTAATGTAGGTAAATCACAGAGGTCTCTCTATTCTACCCAAAGATAGTTTTATATTGCTCTTCTGCAGAAGAAATTTTGAAAAGCAAATGAAAGTTTTACTTCTATGACCTTTATGGGTTCACTATAATTTTTAATCAAGGATTTCTATAGATAATTCTTACATTTTTATTCCTTATTTTTGAAAGAAGGAACACTAGAGACATTTTTGTTTCTACCATTTAATTTAATAGATTTCATAGATTTTATAGACATTAGGGCTGGAAGGGACCTCAGAAGATCATCGATTCCAGGCCCTCACCTGAAGGGCAGGAAGTCAGCTGGGGTCAT